CTCCCTTTTCAAATCTCGTATTAGCAATGGATTCTATTTACACTAAGTGAAAATAGCAGTATTTTTAGCAATATGCTATTTACACTAAGTGCAAATACCTATTTACACTATGTTAAAATAGCAGGATTTCGGAGATGGTATTAAAGTAGCTCAGTCTATTGTTATATACTTGTACATACAATTGTCGATTTGTATATTTTTATTCCTTATTGTACTTGTTCTATTTTTTATTTTTTTTAATTATTTGTGTTTTTTGTTCTGTCACTGTCATTCTGTACAGTATGCAATAATAACGTATTGAGTGTAAATTATAATTTTAATTTTAATTATTACATGGATTCCACCTTATTGGTACAATAAAGCCCTCCCTACACCTACCATAACCCTACCCGATACTTTATTTTCAAACTTTTTGATTATTTCCTTAATTTTTATTGAAAATAAATGCCTTTACGATGTGATATGAGATTTGAAAAGGGAGAAAAAAAAAGTTTGGCAAAAGGCGGGATCAAACCCGGGTCAATCGCGTCAAAAAACCGACGACATGCGCTTATCCATCTGCGCCACTGGAGCTGTTTTTCAGAATTGTGATTTGTTTTGCACTTCTCGGTCACCGTACGAAGGCGACTTTGCCCTTTCCAAGGAAACCAGAACCAGGCCTTCCAACAAGAAGAACAACACGAAATGCCATAGCATTCGTGAATTTGTGAGCGCAGTGCCTGTGAAGAGAGATTAGAGCCTCATAAATGCTGTCTGTAAAAATTGACGCAACAGAAATGTTGATTTGAAAGACTATGGAGCTGATCTGTTGAGGTCTTGTTTGCATTTTATGTATATTATGTTTTTGTATCCTACATTAAATTGCAACTGCTTCTTTTAGTATATATCATTATTAAATTACTAATAAATATAAATAGTATTGTTGCATATTTTACAATGTATTTACATAATATAAAATACCTTATTTTAATTTCTAGGTTGTCCATATTCAAAAGCTCAGTCTCTGCAGCCATCTAGTGGCCACTAAGTAGCACCACTACAAAAAACAAAAAAACAAAACAAAACAAAAAATCAAGAAACAAGAAAGAGGGAAACGGAGGCGCTTCGAAGAATCAACGCGTCAACCTGGAGCGGGTAGGAGAGGATCTGCAGTTGGCAAGAGTTATATGGTCAAAACTTCTAAATTAAAAAATCGCGGAAATTTAACCGATGATCTTGGAAGAAAAGCATGTTTATCAACTGGAGGTCGGAAAAGGGGAAAAATGATAAGAATGGGAAAGTCAAATGAAAAGAAGAAAGCGGTGGCGGGTAAGCACAGCTGTGTTGTGAATGGACCAGAGTGGGGAGATTCTGATATAGTGGATAGTGATGATAGTATGGAAACAAGTCAAGGAAGCGGAAGAATGAGGGAGAAAAGAGAAAACACTTTTGAAGGGATTAGAGCAAAGAAAACCAAGCGTAGTCGAAGGTTTGAAAGAGGAGTAGAAGAGAGTGACCAGGAAAGTTTGAAATGTAAAATGATACTGAGATTCGGCGAGGAGAAGGGAATATCATTGTGAGCACTGTGGAATGGAGGAATCAGTAGAACATGTTATTTGTGTTTGTCAAAAGTATACTAATGAACGAGAAACAATGAAGAATGAACTTAGAAAGATGGGAGTGGATAACCTAAAGCTTAAAAATATATTTACTTATGGACTAGAAAGTTTATTTTTGTATCTTAAGAGAACAGAGCTGATTAAGAGAATTTAGTGGGAAAAATCTTCTTGAGGTAAAGAAGTAAACATTTTTTTTAAATTTTATTTAGTAAAAACATTTTTTTTTTTTTTTTGTCCTCTTATTATGAAAGGGTAAACTCTGGTTCACACTCCAATACAGTAGGTGGCGATAATGCACCTTAACATTGGTGCTACCCGCCATAAAACCGAAGAAGAAGAAGAAGAAAGAGGGAAACGTCAGTACTATGGCGCAAACTACGTGATGGGCGTGGTCATTCTGTCTTCCTATTGGTCTAAATCCGGGAAGCGTTTCGTCCGTGTCAGTTTCCGCTGTTATTTGAAACAATAAACAGAGTTTGTCGTTTCATAAAATGATGACGGTTTGATAGGATAGAAATTAATTAACACTAATCATCGGTGCTTTAAGGTATGATGTAACTTACTATTGCTTGAGAAATTTTAAGTAATTTAAATTCAAGCCGCGTTTGTAGTCTCTGTTTGCCCTGCAGCGTTACTGCTTATATTTTGTGTGTACTATGGAAAATACCATGTTTTTGGACATTTTACCATTTGAATACCATGTTTCGCCATGCTACTTCAATTTACGTTTTTTTCGTTTTTGGAACAGTAACGTTAGTACCTTATTTAGCTTCGTAGAGAACCATAGTATTAGTTCACATATAGCATGCTAATACCATGGTATACCGTATCTAGTCGATACACAAATTGACTAACCTGCCAATTGCATGTGACTTTAATCAATGCATGCCTGTAAATTCATGTTAAATATATTACATGGAACTGTTTTTAATGTAAGTGTTTACATGCATCTGTTTTCTTACAGGCTCTCAGATCAGGATGGAGCAGGTGAGCCGTCTCTCTTTCCATCATGTGGAAGTGTTTCTTATTGTTCTTTCAGATAGGAGGGGTAGAAATCTGATCTGTGTCGGTTCCCTCCACCAGCTGTGGATGGATAGAGGGGGTTTGCAGAGCTGATCTGGTCAGAGGAAAGGAGGAAGACTTGATAAGATGCTTAAAATAGTGTTGCAGCTCATAGTTTATGTGTAACTGGAATAGATAAAGATGGAAAGAAAAGCTTTGACTGCTGCACTGCAGTCCAGAGACAAAACATATGTGTTTTTGTGGAGCTACAGTCAGTTTCAGGTTGTAAAATTGAGGAGACTCCGATACTTTTGAAGTTATTTCTGATGTTTCTGCATGCATTGGTTTCTAGATGAGATTGCAGGTAATAATGCATGTGATTATAACGTGTTTCATGCTCTTGCAGCAGGAGCAGAGAGAGTGGGACGCTGTTAACAGGTTGCTGCAGCATCATGGGTTCAAACCTGTCAACTTTGCAGATCCAACTGAGAACAAGAACCTTGCAGGTAATGCATCACTGATATTTTCACATCTTTTATTTTCTTTCAAATCTTTTAAAAATAGTTTTTCAATCAAAGAAAAATTATTCTCAAGCAACTGAAAGTCATTGGTCAGATGTAACAACGTTTTTTTGGGGACGTTATTTTGGTATTATAGGCTACCGAATTTTAAGTTTTTTGAAAATTATTTGTAAACCACTTTCTATATTTCTTATTATAATTTTTAATGTTATTTGTATTATTTATTATTGTTATTAATTAATATATTATATTTGATTTATTTTTGGGAACTTTAATTTATGTTTTTTAATATTTTGTTTTAATATCTATGTATATCAGTCATCATTTTGTCCATGTCGGTGCATTTATACTGATGTTGTTTGTTGTCTGTAGAATTGGTTCTGTTGGAGCGTAAGTCTGCATCTGATGTACGGCTGATGTTGAAGACTATGCTGTCAGATTCTGAAAGGAGACAAGGTCTTATTCAAGAGCTCATTCAGTCCAACAGCCAACTAAAGTGAGTCTAGCTTTCATCGATTCACAATTAATATTCTTTATTATTAATGGTCTTTATTATATTCATATCTTGGTGTTATGACATAAAATTAGGTTTAGTACAGTAAATTTCACAAGATTGAAAAGAGGGTCATACCTCTTCCAAAAACTATAAAAATAATATATAAAAATGTAAAATTATATTTTGCATAAAGAAAATAAAGCCTATCTTAAGTTTTTTTTTTTTTTTTTTGTGGAATTGTGTTTATGACAATTAAAGGTCTAATTCTCATTATTGTTGACCAATTATGTATTTAAAAAAAAAACAGACCAAAGAGTAAAATAATAAAACATTTTGGTTATTGATCATAACTCTAAAATAATTAAGATAATTAATATTTAAAAAGTTACATGAAAAATCTACATACTATACAATTTATAAAGATTTATACATTATGGTTGTACTAAAATTCATTTTTGTTGATTCTAATTTTTAAAAAGTTATTTAAATCATTCCCTGATCACATTTCACCCCAAAATCAAATGAAATAAATAAGGTATTATATTATAGAAATTAGAAATAGATAATTTTTTATGAAAATTTTCATTACCGTAATGCAAAAATAAATAAATAAACATGCTTTAAAACATCATTTAATATGTTGTATTGACTTTAAATTATGTTGATTGTTATTTAAAAAATGATGAACCAACGTAGTGACTTGTGTTATTATATCACAGTTTTTTATGTTCTGCGGTAATGAGAATTTCAGAGGAAAATGTGCTTAAATTCATGAAAATCCTAAAGGTCTTAAAATGAGACTGTTTTCTTTATGCAAAATATATCTCATTTTGGAGTGGAATGTGTCTCTCATTATTGGCATTTCAGCGAAGATATTCAAATGACTCTTTAATATTTGAATTGTTTAGCACTTGTGGTTTCTCCAGGGACGCCTCCTGGACATGTTGCTTCTGTCAGCACACGCTCAATAATGTAAACCCCTCGTGTGCGGCAGTGGTGCTGCCCATCTGCTGTATTGTAACATAATGCCGGATGAGTGGAAGGAGATGAGATCAGCTGACAGGACAGACGTGTTCCCCGCTCATTCCACAGCACAGCTAATCCAAGCAAATAGGAAGTGCAAAAACTCGCATACAGCTCATAAAGATGCCTGTATCATTTTCAGAGAGGAAGTGCAGCAGCACCAGACGCGAGCCGCCCGTCAGTCTCAGAGGGCTGCCGAGCTGGAGGGCATCCTGGATGGGGTGAAGGTCAAAGTTCAAGACCTAGAGGACTCGTACATCGGTAAATCGGCCCAACAGCACAGCCAGTTCCAACAACTGCAGCAGGAAAAGAGAGATGCTGAGGTATTCAGGCATTAAATGCATTAAATGATTTGCTTTAGATATCAGTATCAGTAATATTGGTTATGTATTTGCAGAAGCGCTGTCAGTCTCTGGAGCAGAAGCTGTCTCAGGAGAAGGAGAAGGTGTCTCAGCTGCAGAAGAAGCTCCAGTACGCCGTGCGGGAGGAGGAGAGACGTGTGGCCCGACAGAACCAGGCCTTCCAACAGATCCACCGCAGATCAGCCCGACTCAACTCCACCACCGACCAGCAGTGAGTGACGGAGAGGATCATGGGATCGGCTTGAATTAGAATCCGTGGTTTCTACACATGCTATTTTATCTGTATAAAATGCATGTTTGAGTCATGGAAATTATTACAAGAAATTTATAGAAAGTTACAGGAAATGTTCTGTTGAATATTATTATTTAAATTTCTTATTTATAATTTTTCTATTTTTTTTATTTTGATAATTTCCATTGTATTTTTCTATTTATTATTTTATTTAAATTTGAATTTCTTTTAGTAAATGTGAACATCTAGAAGACATTGATCAAAGGTAACTGCCTTGGACGATTAATAAAAAATCATTTATAAATGATTCAAAGTCACTTTTTTGAGGACCATATTTTCATACTATAGATGATCTAATTTTTATAAAAATTATAAGTCTCTAAATTGTTTTATTACCATTTATTTTTTTGTATTTATTATTTTCATATTTTTATTGATTTAGATTTTTTTTTTTTTCATTAAAAATGTCACTTTTATTATATTTTTTTTATTTTCTGTATTTATTTTTATATTTATTATTTAAATTCGAATTTTTGTAATTTTTAACAGCTGGTCAGAAGTAAGCTTGCCTTGGGCAAACATTTTATTTATTTATTTATTTATGAGAACCTTGTATTTTTTAGACTAGAATTTTTTTTACATTTTCAAAACGTATTCAGAAATCTCTCTCTCTCTCTCTCTCTGTCTTATATATATATATATTATATATATATAATTAAAATAAAAAAAACTCATCCAAAAATCTCATCATAAAAAAACTTTTAACTCTCATCCAGTAATTGTAAACAACTGAAGAGAGAATTTCTTACTGTGCTTGTAAAAGCTGATGCTGTTTTTGTTCCTCTGAAGGATTTTGGACATCATTGACATGTACGAGTCCCAAATGCAACAACTACGGAATGAACTGAAGTAAGTGTATGAATAATTTAAATTTTAATTATTAATAGAAATTCCTTACACATCAGTGTCATCTTTTCCTGCAGATTATATAAAAGCAGCTCAGGAGAGAAGGACTCCTCAAACTCCCAGAAGAACAGATCCACAGTGGAAAAAGGCACCACTGACACGTCTTCCAACTACAAGGCCCTTCTGAAGGTATCTTCAGTGACAAATGTTTGATATCTGTTCTCGATCTTGACATGTAAACGTCATTCTGTTTGGCTCTAGTCATACCAGGAGCAGCTGAAGGAGACCAAAGCACAGCGAAAAGAACTCAGGACTGAAATCCAGCGGTTAAAAGAAGATCTGGAGTCCAGGTTGAAAGCGGATATTTGGAGCCTTTAATATTAGTTGTTTTTTTTTTAGTTGGTGACGTTTTTAATGTTACACATTTTAGACCCACCATAAAAGAACTGAAGACCTGCAAACAGCAGCTGAGACGCTTGGATCGAATCATTCAGCAGAGTAACCTCAGGTAAGATCTGCAATGAGTGCTTCTAATGAAGCAGTTTGAATCAGGGTAATGAATTACTTGTTTAAACAGACCATCTCAAGCACTCAAATCGCAGGACTCGGCAGAGATGCTCAACACGAATAACACCGGCATCCAGCACCTGGATGCTTCTACCTGCAAAAGACTCCTTATGGTATGTGAAGATGCGTGATTGAATCAGCAAAACTGCTTTAAATCAGTGTTATTATAGTTAGCTAAAAATAAAACCATAAAAAGATACTTTGCTCAATTTAAAATATTAATAAAAGCTATAGTAGTATCTCAATTATATTTAAAAAAAAAATCTGATTTTAGAGGTTGACGTGTGGTCTGATGTTTCCGGTTGTTTTTCAGGATCTTTGTAAGGAACTCCATGTGCAAGATGTCAGTCATCTCATTTCTGCAGTGAAAGTTCAATGTAAACAACCCGAATCTGCCTTCAAGCTGGAGAAGGTGATATTTATCACAGTTCGGAATAGCATACTATTTTTTGGTATACTAATATACAAATAGAATATAAACTAAAACCATTTCCCAAAATGTTCCATATACTATAAAATTTGCTGTATTATGTATCCTACAATGTGCTCAATTTCTTCAGTCTTCAATGTAACAGATGAGCTACATGAAACAAATGAAGACTCGTTATTTGATCAGACTGATGAAAAATATGACACAATAAATTGCGCTGCTTAAACTTGATGTAATGAGCTCATGATGTAATGACAATTCCATTCGAAATGTAGCCAATGCCTTTCTGACATAATCACAATCTGATTTTCTCTGCAGATCCTACATGACATCACCACAGTCCTGACCAATCCCAGGGCTCCGTTGGGTTTGCTGAGGCAGCGTGCACAAACCAACCTAGAGCTCAGCAGGGAGGTGGAGTTTGAGCTGATTGTTCCCACCCTGGAGGTTTGGAGCCGACAGCTAACCTCTCTAGCAGTGAGTCAAATCTTTGGGCAATGAATTTAACCAAAGGCACGGTCACATTTATCACTGTTCGGTGAATTTTTAATTCAGTAATTTCAACAGGAATCCACACGATTGGAGCTTTGCTTGAGATTTTGTTGATTTGTGTGTGAGAATTGCTTCATATCACTACACTATCGACAATAGAAAATTGACCTTTTTTGTGATCAAAATTTTGCTGAAATTTCCACATTTAGCATTGTTCGGTTATTTTTTGGTGGGCTAAATTTTGTAATTTCAGTAGGAATCTATTCAAGATTTCCCCTCACAGATTTTGCAACTGGTTCAAATTGGTTACGTGGATTCAGCACATTCACCAACAGAAATCTGTTTGGTTTGGAAGTGACTCTGCTTCATATATTTCTATGCTATTGATTGACAAAATTTTAATTTATTGAAATTAAACGTTATTTTACTACATTTACGTTTTACGAATTTTCATGGGCGAAATTCAGTCATTTCAATGAGAATGTATGCAATCGGGAATGGTTTAACAAGTGGGTAAAACCTGGTTAATCTTTGGGCAATGAATTTAAGTAAAGGTGCGGTCACATTTACCGTTGTTTATCAAATTTTTGACTGCGAAATTCAGTAATTTTAATAAGAATCTATGGGAACGGTTGAACCAGTTGCAAAATCTTTTCTGATTCCTACTGAAATGACTGGATTTTACCAACAAAAATTCACAGAACAGTGGTAAATGTGACCCTTTAGTAAAATTCACAGAAATTTTAGTGATTTCATTTGGAATCTATGAGATTGGAAATGGTTGAACCTGTTGTGAAATATTTAATTTTCAAGCGAAGTTCCCTATCGCACCAATCCTGTTAAAACGACTGAATTTTGTCCTCAAAAATTCGTCAAACAACAGCAAATGTGACTGCACTTTTACTTAAATTCAAATTTTAGCAAATTTTTGCAAACAAAATTCTGTTATTTCAGTAGAAGTCCGGGCTGTAACCAGAATGTTCATTTGAAAAGTTTTCCACACTCAGTAGGGCTGCACAAGTAATCGAAATCGAATCGAAATTCCGATTATGAAATCGGAAGGCTGTTATGCACAGCTTGTCAGTGAAGTACGGCTCTGTGATCAGTAGTAAATGCTGCTCCATCTGAAAGCACTGTGAGTTTGAGTCGCTCATAACGTGCGTCAAACATCTTTCCAAACATGAGAAGCATTTATGAACCTCTTGTCCAACAAAAGACAATATTTAATAACATGTTCTTACTCTAAACTCATTACGTCAAGTGTTTGAAATAAAATCCTTCTGTGAGATGATGTGGCAGCCTTTGCCAAATCGTGATTCCAGTTTATTTTCGATGAATCATGCAGCCCTATCACTCAGATTTCGCAATGTGTTCAGCTGTTCTAGATCGCATTGAAATGACTGAATTTCGCCACCAAAATTTGAACAATTTAACAAAAAGGTACAATGTATACTGTCAATAGTGTGGTGAGATATGAAGCAAAGCTCACACAGAAATTTCCCTAATATGACTGCACCAGAACTCAATGGGTTTGAATGTGATTTGTTTGGTTCACTAGGATCTTCATCGTGCCCTCATCCGACTGGAGAAGAGGTTGTTGCCATGGCAGCCAGAGGGCAGCATCACCGCTCCTTCAGATCCCGTGCGGATGGAAGACTTGATGCTTATCGTCGACACGCTACTCGATGAGACGGCATCAGATGACAAGGTACTTCTCCTGAAAGCAACGTTTCCCTTAGTGTTCTCAGTAATCCATCAGCTGAAGATGCTCACAATGTTCCTCAGGTTCTGCGGAGCCCCACCAGATACACCCTGGAGTCCATGGTCGCCCACTTCCAGAAACTCTTCGACACCCCGTCACTGACAGGAATCTATCCTCGCATGAACGAGGTCTACACTAAGCTGGGCGAGATGAACAACGCCATGAGGAATCTCAGAGACGTTCTAGATTTGGGTATTGAGATCGAGAATTATGAAACACTCCAAAGATGTCTCCGCATACCTGTATGACATGCAGCCTCCCTCTTCCTCTCTGAATTGATGTTGTTATATCTAGATGATAAAGCGCCTCCTAGCGAGGTCATGAACAAGGTTGCTGCAATCGTGTCGCAGTCAGGAAACGCCACAGGTCACGAGCTCTACAGCCTTCTGGAAAGCAGTGACATTGACAGGTACGTCCATCTGTCTAAGTCGTTGTGCTCAAATGTCTGTAAAACTGTTCTATAACATTTTATAATAAGTTTTAAATCGCTAACATCAGTTAATGCAGTAATTCCCAAACTTTTCCATCAACCAAAACCCCTCTGACTTAAAATCTGAAGGGGACTTCAAGTAAATATTTGTTAATATTTCAAGAATTTAATAACATCCACAGTTCTTTGATGTTTGTTAAAGGTCAAATGACATGTAGGCAGACAAATCAAAATCAAAAAAATTATTTTAATACGTTTTTTTAATTTTATTTTTTTATTATCATTTTTATTTTATTAATTTAATTTATTTTATTAGATAATTAGCTTTTTCAACTTACAAACTCTACAGTTTGTTAAAGCATTAGGAATTAGTTTAAAGGGGTCATATGATGTGATTTCAAGTTTTCCTTTCTCTTTGGAGTGTTACAAGCTCTTGGTGCATAAAGAAGATCTGTAAAGTTGCAAAGACTAAAGTCTCAAATCCAAAGAGATATTCTTTATAAAAGTTAAGAGTCAGCCACGCCTACCTAAAACGCCTCGTTCTAACACGCCCCCAAATGTCTGTCACAATGTGGGAAGATTTGCATAACACCGCCCAAGTGTTCACGCAAAGAAAGAAGGCATAACTTTTATTCTCTCAGTAGTATTGTTGTTGCTGCCGCCGCCATGTCGTGAAGACGCTGTGTGTTTCGTTGTGAAAGCGAAACTACTTTGTTTGGTCTTCCAAAAGACGACGATATCTGCTTCATCATGCCTGGAGCTGATCCGTGCTGGTTGCTGAGGAAATACATCAACTTCGCGCTGTCGATCGCCGGATCGGCTTTCACCGTGGACGAAGCGGAGTCCAGCCCGGGGTTCGTCACGTGGTTGCCACAAGCCCGCCGGACGCTCCTTTGTCGAATCCGCCGGCTGCGCCGTTCTCAAGCCCGCCGACTCTGCTCACTCTAGCCCGCCGTGTGTGAATTGTTTTTTTAACCTTAAACCGCATAAACACATTTCATTACATCAAATACACAAAATGTTCTTTTTAGCAACATCATACGACCCCTTTAAGGCATGTAATTATGTTAATGTCACATTATTGTGGTTAAATAATATTCTTTCATAATTTATACAACTTGAAATGTTAAATATATGTACAAACTGACAAGCAAAAGTTTTGCTCATTATTTTATTATATCTAGTACATTAATGTTTATGAATTGAACCTTATTGTAAAGTGCCAACTTCGTAAATTCACGTTTAATTCATTGCTTGAGTTTATGCAATAATGGTTTATAAAAATATTAATTTTAACATTTAATTCCATGCATCAATGATCAAAAATGTTCAATTTGTTTATATTAGGTGTAATCCTTTTACAGCATTTACACTGCATACATTTTCTAATGTCAGCTATCAATATTGCTGTTAGTTCCTCCTACCTAATGCATTTTTTAAAGCATTTGCTAATCTAAGTTACTTTTGTTCATTGTTGAACCATGGTCTTTTATAATCCATTAAATTATACGTAAGTAAATAAAACGTAAATGTAAAAAATTTAGACATGAACATTTACAAGTTTTGTATATCAAGTACATTTATCTTAATGAATTGAATCTACTTGTAAAGTGTATACATTTAAACAATTTATTGGTTCAGTTTATGAAAGAATGGTTTATAAAAAATGAAAGCTTATATTTATCTCTTTTTAAGAACCTACATTTGAGAAAGTGTAATTGCTTTATAAAAAAAAATTCACGTCAGTTTGAAGACGTGGGTTTCAGGACCAACTGATACAAAAGCTCCATTCATCTGGAAACTGATGCTGATTTATTGGAAGTGAACAGACAATTGGTGTTTTGCATAGTGATGTTTGTATTTCACAGTATCATTGTAAAGCTGAAGGAACATGAGGAATTCTTTCCGGTTTTCCACTCGTTCATATTGGAACTTCTGCAAACTCTGGGTGAGAACAAACTTCATTCACATTCAACAGTCAGTCAAACTGAAATGAAAAGTTCATCCATTAGTATTCTAGTGCACTAAAATCATGAAGCACAGATGACTTGTTCTCCTAAAATAGTAGTGTATTGTGGCACTAGTTGAGTTGTTTCCTCTTTCAGACGTCCCGACTCTAGATGACGTTTTACCAGCAATACGTTCTCTCAATGGCTGATGTTTCGTGAAGCACCATGTGGTTTCACACCTGACTTTAAATGTTTTACTGAGTTTATTGTATTGTAAGTGTTCATTTTATAAATAAATGTGCATTTCTGCTGTGTATTTTCTGAATCCGCTCACAACAGCAGTTTATCTTAATCTCAACCAACAGGTTTATATTCAAAACTCTGTTATATAAGAAACAGTTTATGTTGGCAGATATTGTTCAGGTTTGCAACCGTCCATCAGTCTTTGTCCTCTGAAGCGCTGGCGTGTCCCTGAAGTTTCTCCATGATCAGACTGTTGGAAGGTGCGTTAGTGATGAGCGTTAAGACATACGTGGACGTCCCCTTTAAGACGTGCCGTATGACCGTACATGACGCCAGGTCCTCGATGTGAAAGCCAGCGTGATGCTCAACATCTTGCTGTAGAATAGAGTCCGGCGTCTGAGCGCCAAAAAACTGCAACAGAAAACACTGGTTTTTCTGAAGTGGTCACTTATAGACAGACGGACGTGAATCTTTGCGCTCTGAGCATCTGTTTGGACAGATAGAAGGTACTTACAGCTTTTCCTGACAGTGGACTGATGAAATCGGCCCAGTATCCTCCTCTCCACAGCGTGAAGCAGATCTCTTTAGCACCACTGACAAACTGCAATCGGACATTTAAATAATACTTATTAATTAATAGTTTTCTTCAGCAAGGATGCATTAAATTGACAGCGACAGGAAAGACATGTATAATGTTACAAAAGATTTCTATTTCAAATAAACACTGTTCCATTCATCAAAAAATGTATCTTGGTTTCAACAAAAAATTATCAAGCAGCACAACTGATTTCAACATTAAGAAATGTTTCTTGAGCAGGAAATCAGAACACTAGAAGGATTTCTGAAGGGTCATGTGACACTGAAGACTGGAGTAATGATGCTGAAAATACAACTTTGCATCACAGCAATCAAAATATATTCAAATTAAAAAAAAGTTATTTTTAAATCGTAATAATCTTTCACAATATTACCGTTTTACTGTATTTTTGAACAAATAAATGCAGCCTTGGAGAGCAAAAGAGATTTCGTTCAAAAACAATCTTATTAATGCCTATATTTCATATCAAGATGTTTTTTCCACCCAATATATTCAGGACAGTCAAGCACTTGAAATAATATCTCATTGCTGTAATGCATTCATATATTTAACTTATTTTCAATTACAATCAGCATAAAAATATATACAATAAAATGTTTCACAATGCAATATATACATATAATTTATAATTCATAAATGCGAATTTAATTCAATATATAAAATAAAATGTATCAATGCAATTAATATACATATGCAGTTTATATATTACTAATATAATAATGTATATACATTGACTTTTTTTTGTATTTTTATATTGGTTATTATTGTAATACAGCAATTATGTTCAATTGAAATCTGCATTAAAAAAATCTCAAAATGTATTGGATTTATTTATAACAATTTACAATATATATAATTTATATTTACAGTATTATAATTCATAATTATATAGTAGTACATAATTTATAATAGAACAATGTATATATAATGAATAATAATAATGTCATTGAATTTTTCAGTCAGACTCACATTATCTAGTAGCTTCTGTTGATCTTTGTTCTGATCTTCTGTGCCGGTCTTCTGTGTTACGGTGACGACAGTGATGGGACTCACAGGGAGCACTGGGAAAAACAGCTCTAGCTCTGTCAAAAAACAACAACGATTAGAACATTACCTGTAACATTGAAGATGTTTGACATGTTCTATGAGATAAAGCACCTTTCTTCAGCAGCTCTGGGCAGGAATGCATTGTACACTCCACATCTGACTGACTGAAATAGTGTTCAGCTTTACTGACTCGCTGCGCCATCAGAGACGCTTCTTTACCCTGAACAAACAAAACACCTCAGAGCAAGCACAAACAACAAAACTGAAGAATCAAATGACTTCTAACTGATTGTTACCTGATACTCATTAACAAACTGAGCGAGGATGAACTCGTGTCTCTCTGTGCTGGATGGGGAGGTTAAAACGTCCGGGACCGTCCTGTGGACCGGCCCTTTCATCTGTAACCCGGCACCCTTCAGGTGACAATCGAAACCCACGTTGCCTGGCAACTGGAACCGCTGATCTTGAGGCCCAAACGGACCCATGGTCTCATCTGGCCACACTGTTCTAGGACCTGTCGGACAGACCATTACATCAACGTTCATTTCAACCCACCGTTGGAAAAATATTAGGAAGATTTTAGGCTGTAATCATTTACACATAATAAGTAATATATAAATGGATGAATGCAATGTTTAACATGATGATAAAAAATAGATTATGAAATATAATAAAAAATATAAGTAATCTTCATAAATGTTAATATTAACAAATATATATACAAACATTATGTAAACATATGCATCACATATACTGTTACACTATGCTATTAATATAACACTTTAAAATATATATTTGATATAGCTGTATGCTATATTAAACATATATAATGTAAATTTAATTCAATATTTTTATGTTAATATAAATAAATGACATACTATAGATATTGTTGCACTTTAATATTAAACACTACATAAATGTAATATCATTTTAAAATACTTTTTACAGTATATAAATGCATATATATATATATATATAACAATATTTTATATTGTTTTACGCTACATTCAACATTTAATGTTAAATCTATTAATAAAATAAAAATAATATGCAAACAATTTCATATAATTTCTAATGTTAATATAAATACATTATACAATGATATTTACAATAACATTAAATGCATATCTAAAGTAAATACAGCTGAATAAAACAAAAACTGTCTTCATTTCTGGCTGCAAAGCAACAAAATTTGATTATTTTAAGGCAGAGGCCATTTGCACTAATTGTAAATAGAGATAGCTGCTATTTACACTAAGTGCAATATATATATATATATATATATATATTTGGCCCATTTAAAATCATGTTCATGTAACTGAAACATTCACAATATACATAATGTACATTACACACCTGAATTTTGAGACGGTACAGCTATATACGGCTCATCTGATCCAGACGAGCCCGCGGCTGAAAAACCTCTAACGGCCACGATCCTCTGAGCCAGTGTGTGAACCACAGACGACTGACTCACCTGTCTGACCCTCCTTCACAGCACCTGCATTAATAAAACACACACACAGTGGTACA